TCAGTCGTGTCGAGTGAGTGAGTGTGTGTGTGTGCTCTCCCTCTCTCCCTCTCTCTCCTCTCCCTCGGCTCACCCTCAGCCTCACGCTCGTTACAGATTCTGTTTGACAGCAGTTGCATGATATGGCAGAGTCTTACCGATTTAAAAAGAGTACTACCGTCTTCACCCGAATAGAACGCGCGGTCATTATAGCCGTATTTGGTTTTTCAGTCCATATACAGCGATAAGGACAGGGCGTTCTATCCCGGAGAAGACGATAGTGGCAGGCAAATGGAGGAGGCGGAGCTCAGATCTAAGATCTGAAGCTGAGCTCATGGTTCTTGTGCTATTGAGATATACAGAGGAGGTGGAATTGGGGGCCCGCTTCTAGGGCCACAACAGTGCTGGAGTTGGGAAGTTAAAATTCAAGCTGTAGAGAAAGGTTATCTCAGCAGTGCAGCCTGAACCAGGACTACTTGTGAGCACACAATTCTCCACAGCTGTAGAATCTCTCTCTCTCTCTCTCTCTCTCTCTCTCTCTCTCTCTCTCTCTCTCTCTCTCTCTCTCTCTCTCTCTCTCTCTCTCTCTCTCTGTGAGCAGCCGTGTGTGTGTGTGTGTACACTTAGCATAGTGAGGGGACTATGTACGACTGAGCTAGATATCTATAGTGGATCAACAAGCAAATGGCGAAGTCAGTGGGGGTAACAGGACTGCCTGCCTTCATGTCCTCCCGATTTTCATGTCTGACATTGCGGTACAGCTCCTACAGGGCTGCTGGTTACCAAAGTTGGTGGATGCTAGAGATTGTGGATGGGAGATACATGTCAGCTGTGGAAGGGAGGGTGGATATGTGACAGCTAAGGTGCACGTCCACCGTACGCGTTACATGCAGGTGTGGTTGACATCCACCCTCCTGTCAAGTAAGCCGCCTGACATGCACGCATGCACCCACCTGTTGTGCACACGGTAAGGTGTTGGGAGTGCGGTGCGTAGGGTCGATTTTCTAACCAAGTGGGACCCTGGCCAACCTCTTTCTCTGAGCCCAGTCAGCCCTACCTTGTTTCCCTGAATAGAATGTACGGTCATTTTCCCTGCATCTGGACTGAACAGTGAGCCAAGTGCGGTGCGTTCTATTCGGGGGAAGGCCATAGCTGCTTTTGCTACTCATGAAGAGAAGCCTGAGCCAACTTATCCTGATCCTGTCCCAAATGTTTGCGGGATACTTCTCAAGGGCACTATCAACGAGGTGTCAACTCCGTCTTTGTTGGGTTGAACGTTGAGTACTCTTCTCCCTATTCTGGGAGAGAGCTGTGGAAGGTACATCCTTTTCTTTTCTGTTTTCTCTTTTTTTATGTGGCTACCAGTTGGGTGAAATATATTTGAATGTGTTTGCATCACTGGTGGGAGAATAGGGTCCATGGGGTTGCAGTCAGCTGAGTTTGTGAGAAACTTAGAATGTCTTTGCATGTGTTCGCATCGGTGGTGGGAGAATAGGGTCTAGGGGGTTGCTGTCTGCTGAGCGTTGCAAAATTAGACAGGTTGTGAAAGGGATATACCTGCAATTTGCAGGTGGTTGATCGCAGCAGTGGACGCTGAATGTTCTTGGTCCTAGAGGGTTGTTGAGCCTGTTGTGCTCTTAATTGTTCATCACATCAATCATCATCATCGTCATCGTCTACGTCATTGTTGTCGTCATCATCATCATCAACAGGAAGTGTCAGCTTGTGGATATTTTAGTTTCCGAAGTTGCAGACAGTGTGTCTGGTGTCCGCCCTCTCAAGGCTGTGTCACAGTGTGGTATATATGTAATAATGTTTTAAGTCAGCAGAGAATGTACGCAGTGTGCACTGCATTCTCTGGTAACTTGGCAGGTCAAAGGCTTTGACCAGTCACACTAGATATGTTTGGAGTCCTTGGATGTGCAGGCACGATGCATAAGTGCAGTAAGTGGCAGTGCTTGCTGCCATCATCAAGCTGGAAACTTCCTGTGTGCTACCTCAAATAATTTGAAGATTCTGAACGTTGCAAGTTTAGTTCAAATTTCAAACTATATGGTCACATTTTCTTGCCCTATTCTGCTAGTTGACCTGAACTTCAAAATTGAGTGAGACACTGAGAAGACTACAAAGTTTGGATTGCTTTATTTTTCTCTGTTTTTTTATGTTTAACCTCCAATCCTTTTCTTCGAATTTCCTTTTTAAGCACTGATTTGGGAAAGAATTCAACCCTGTACTACAAGACCCCGTATTGGCTATACGTCCTCCTTGTATTTATGCAGGATACGTTGCCAGTACTATTGGTTTTTGTTTATGTGTATCCGGAACTCAACAAAAAAAAAAACACTGCGCGTGAAATCAATGAAAGTGGGAAGCTGAAAGATCACTGTGGAAAAAGAAAGGCAGTGTTCTTCTTCTTCTTCTTCTTCTTCTTCTTCTTCCTCTTCCTCTTCCTCTTCCTCTTCTTCTTCTTCTTCTTCTTCTTCCGTCTTCTTCTTCTTCTTCTTCTTCTTCTTCTTCTTCTTCTTCTTCTTCTTCTTCTTCTTCTTCTTCTTCTTTCATCAGATAGTATTCTTCTTCTTCTTCTTCTTCTTCTTCTTTCTTCTTCTTCTTCTTCTTCTTCTTCTTCTTCTTCTTCTTCTTCTTCTT